CATGTGTCTTCTCAGCTGCAGTGTCTCCCAGGGAGTTAACTTGCATTCTGCATCCAGAGAGCGATTTATGTCCATAGTGCCTCCAAAGGAGGTCATAAAGCTGCGACCCGATTGACAGGCTAAACACCACTTCACTCTTAATCCTCTCAAATTGACAACAGATTATATAAATGCCACACCACTTTTCAGTAAAATCCCATGACGTGATTTTTACTCAAAGAGCATACGCCTTCTACATTTGTTTGCCAGACTCTCCCTCCCCTCACTACCTCCAGTAAGTATTGTGGTAAGTTCACTAGGCTAATTTTTATAACAACATGTTCAAATAGATTGGAAAAGCAGCACTTAACAAAATACTTCATAGGGGGAGAGAGCAGATGGCAGATACATATAGAAGACACATACTATTTGGTGTAAAAATATGGTATTCCTGTCCTATAACAGCAATCATTACAATTATAGTACCTGTTAGTTGTATTTTAGCCTCATGAAAATAATTTTCTTCCAAAAGAATACCTTAATTAAATGTATTTTTCTTAACCTTACTTATGTTGTTCAAAGAAGATGAATTGACTGAGTCATGTTATAAATTAGACCACATGTGTTTATTTTCCTGCTGTCTTTGAAAATTACTAACAAATGAAAATCTGCATATACAATTGTAACTATACAGTCAAATATTCAAATTTGGTTGTCAAGATAAAAAGAGGACATGTCTTGAATGACATTGAGTTGATTATGATTCATCATGACCCTATATATATAGGGGTTTTGGTCTGTAAACATTTATGGGAACAAATAGCCTCCACTTTTCCCTAAGTAGCATCTGATGGGTTTGATCTGTGGATCTTGCACGTAACCCTGGTCTTTTCAGCAGCCTCGGATGCATGTGTGGAACTGGGCAATGAAGGACGGTGAGACTTTGTCACACATACTTTGGACCTGGGATCCTGAAAATCCAGTCCCTGACATCACGCTTGGTGAAGTAGAGGACTAGGGGAAAAGAGGAAAACCTTCAACAGACACATTGACACAGTCACTGCACAATGGGCTCAAATATAATAGTTATGAAGATAATGCAGGACGAGGCAAGGCTCCATTTGCTGTACATGAGATTGTTTTGAGTTGGAACCAACTCAGTGGTACCTAACAACAACATAGCAATTGACTTGTAAAATGCAGACTATTGCCTAGACGTTCTGGCAGTTGTCAGTATGGATCTTGAGTTACGGTCATGTTGAAGTAAAAGTCCCAAATATGGCTATGCAGATTGCACCGTTAACCCCGGAGACTTATGTACAATATATGTGAGTTGCTCCCTTTGGAGTTGTGAAATTCAGAGTGCATAGTATTGGTGATATTTGGCTACATATCTTTTTGCTCTTGGTCTCTTTGTTTCAGACTCTGCTGTTTAGTGCTTAAAAAAAACAAACTAACTAACCCACTGCCATCAATTGACATTCTAACTCATCTCATTGAGTGCCTGTATGGAATATCGAGGCTGTGAATCTTTTCAGGAGAAAATAGCCTCAGTTTTCTCTCCTGGAGCAGATGGTGGGATTGGACCACTGACCTTGTGGTTAGCGGCATGATGCTTACCCTGCAGCACTACCCGGGCTCCTTATTTAGGACTTTCGGTTGGAATAAGTGCTTGCTGTTTAAGTTCTGGTGGTTATGGATTTAAAAAATCATACTTGTTGATACTTCATGATAATATAAATTTGATGTCTTTCTTCCTGTCATCCAATTTTTTAAAAGGTCTTCTTCATATATATATATATGTAATGTTTAAACAACAAAATAATAGCATATACACTCACACCCATCACAAATAAGCTTTTATTTAAGATTAAATAAGTGTTGAGTTGTATATCTATTATTGTTGTATATCTATTATTTAATGGTTGTATATCTATTATTTAAATGGTATCATCAGTACACACTCAAGAATAGGTGAAAATTTAAATTTGAGAACAAATTTGGAGTCTGATAAATGTTGACTCTGATAAACCAAGGTTCACATTGGTTGCGGGGATGTTAGGTGCCCTCCAGTAGTATCCTAGAAACAGTGACCGTATTTTTAACAGGATGAAGCACTGCCTGGTTCGGCATCATACTCGGTTCTTATATTAGAGCCCTATGTTTCAGCCTCTGTGTCAATACAGTTTGCTGAGGGTCTTCCACTTTCCCCTGATTGTCTACTTTACCAAGTCTGAGGCCCTGTCCACCTGTCCCAGTCATCCTTTGGCGGTAGAGCTGACAAAGTTCTGTCACTATTCTTAAGGTCTTCAGTGGCTTGGTCCTCAGAAACTGAACAGCCTAGTCCTCCTTTGCAGTCTTCCCTTCGCCGGACAGTTTTGAAAGCTGTTCGCCACGGACTCCCCTGCTGGATTCTGAAATGACAGTGGCATAGCCTCCCAGCACCAAATAGGCAAGCTACCTTAATACAACTGTTAGACAAATGGTGGCTCACATTAGGATACTCTTTCAGTTAGGACAAACTTCACTGTGAACTACCAGCTTAGAGAATTTAAAGTTCATTATAATAAGGCTTTAATACGTTTTAAAATTTTTAAAATAATACTGTTTTTTTCCCCCATTGTGACAAGATACCTGTTCATACTTCTACAGTAACATGGGCTGTCCTATGAGAATTTCATTGAGGAAACTCACCCACTCACCATATAGTCCTCATCTGGCTCTTTCAGATTTCTTTTTGTGCCTCAAACCCAAAGAACATTTAAAAGGAATACAATTTGAATCCTCGAGGATGCTGAAAATAGTCGTTTTGGGAGATCTAATTAAAAGAGCACAGAATTCTCTTTTTTCTTTTTAAGATCATTTTATTGGGCGTTCTTACAGTTCTTATAACAATCCATAC